AGCCTAATATTCCACTCGGAGGGTAAATTCCGTGAAAATATCAAAAAATTAACGCAATGTAAGTGATGTAACATGGCTGATGGTGACCAGCAGTGGAAACCCAAACGTGCATTTCATCCTATTTTTGACTGGTCAACCGTATGCACCTCCATTCCTAATGACTAATGTTAATATATAGGCATCGATGAAGCATCTGTACTAGGGGCTGACATGTCAACAGAGACGATTGATCAGTCAACCATAGGGGATTCGATTTGTTTCAAATTTCATTATGGGTTGATATTAGTTAGATGTCCATTGGAAACCACCAGTAGTTGCTGGAGAGCTGTTTCGTCCTAGTTGGGAACTCCTCAGTATATGCAACCACTAGATTTCGTATCCAGGACCTTTCGGTTACAAGTCAAGCTACCTCGTAGTTCATTCAGCCGCTGGCACTTAACTCAATGGCCAGTCTATGAATTCTAACCTCCACCGATTTGTGATCTTAGCGCGATCACTAGTCAATGTCATCTGTCCTCATTCCCGACAGGGTGGACACCCCCAGTGGTTATGACTTCTCACCCTTAGGTTCAAACCCCAGTGGGTGCGCACTGTTGACGAGTCTGAAACCAAGATGAAACGGCTATCCGTTACTCCTAGCTGGTTATCAGTGGCTCTCTAACAGATATCAGCCCGTTCTCATACTTGAAACAAATACACGATAACTTAAAGATGAAAAAACAGTAAACTGTGTTTACCTACTTTTCGTAAACTGTTTACAGGCTTTTAAACCATATTATAGGTCAACTGCAATGTACATACAACCCATAGCAGGCACACTCACAAATATTTGTTAGGAGAAAAATATTAGATAAAAAATTATTAGAATTCGTTGTGTGTTAGCAACACAAAAAGAATGAGACAACTTAAAATGTTAGACAAACAAGGTCATCAGTCGATAGATATGGTAGTGGAGCTGCATCAACAAAAATGGCGGGAGAAATGCTACACAAACATTATGCTGAGTCGCTGCCTTGCACGACCCACAATGTCACCCAAAGTAGGATTATGTTGGGATTAAGTAAGGACTTGTTACAACAACAACAACAAAAATAACACCAATTTCATAAGTTTGAGAGAGGTTAGTCTCAGTCACACACACACAGAGAGAGACAAGTGAAGATTGTCTGGATGCAGTTCTCGAGGCTCAAATAAACAAACGAATTCTTGAAAATGACAAAGATGTATTCAGTAAATACTATCTTTCGAAAACAATGAATATATTCACCATTCCATATGATAAAGAAAGACACTCTGTTCTCGTTATTATTTTCTAAGTGTGACAACCTGGACTAATACATAAAATTATGTACTACTGATTGGTTGAAATGAGTGGTTGCATACTACCCCTTACATCAACCAGCAGTACTTGCTAGCCACCACCGGACGGCCGTTTCGCTCTTCTGGGGCTGAGCTCATATACTAGGATTTAACTCAGCTCAGAGAGCCGAATCGGTTCAAATCCCCGACTTTCTAGCTAACCACTTGGTTGAACTGGTCAAATCACAAATGAAATTCACAATTTGCAATCAACACAGGTCGAATGGTGAGAGATTGCATCATGGACAGATACAGTGTTGTATAATTATAGTCTATGGTGATTATCATACTTTGCATATCTATCTCCAAACATTATTATTATTGTTTCCTATATAACCTAGAGAAACATTGGGCTTCAGCCGTGCGTCTCCATTGCGTTCGGTTCTCTGCTAGAGTCTTCACCTGGCTCCAAGTCTGACCACACGTTTTCATCTCCTCTTCACATGACCTCCTCCAAGTTACCCTTGCACTGACGACCAACTCGCCGCTTCCCTTTCGGGTTCCAGTCGAGCAATGGCTTGCCTTGTGATGTCACTTGATGGTTTCCACAGAGTATGGCCAATCCATCTCCATTTCTTCCTGCCTATTTGTTTCACAATCGGTTCCTGCTTGGTTCGCTCCCAGAGATCTCTGTTGCTGATCTGTTCTGGCCGGCCATCTGATCTTGAGTACTGAGCGAAGACAACTGTTAATGAAGGTCTGTAGTTTGCTTGAGATGCTCTTTATGACGCGAAGTGCAAGTCTCTGATCCGTATAGTAGCACTGACTGACTTCACATTGGAGTTGAAAATCCGGATGTTATTTTTTATGCTGAGTGCTATTGACCTCCACACAGACTTGACAGTAGTGAAAGCTTGTCTTACTTTTCTGATTCTTGCTTTGATATCCTCGTCAGTTCCGCCTGTAGTTGAAACGATGCTTCTCAGGTAGGTAGGTAGATGAAGGAGGTTGTTTCTTTCAGGTTCCTCCCATTTATGCTGATTGTTGTCAGTTGTTGTTGATGCTCGCAGTCACGAATCTTCATCACCTATGTTTTCTCTATGTTCACCTGAAGTCCTTGCTATCTCTGATGCTTCTTCTGTCAACTTGTTGCTTTTCGCTTGCATATCTTCCAGTTTGTGAGAAATCAGACATATATCATCGGCGAAGTCCAGATCCTCCAAGTTTTCGTGTGAGTCCACTTTATGCCTGTTTCCTCATTGCCCGCTGTTTGTCGCATTATCCAGTCTACTGCAATCAGGAAAATCATTGGCGATAGTAGGCAGCCAGCTTGTCTTACTCCTGTCCTCACTTCGAAGGATTGATATTGATTACCATTAATACACTCAACTGCACATACTGAAGATCAAGTAGCCAGTGGACCGGAAACCATTAACAACACATAAATCTAGCAGTATAATGGACCAACTAGGAATCTATCATCCAATAAATATCCAGAATGAAATGGAGATGGATTGGACCTACACTGAAGAGACCATTAACTGACGTCACACACGCTAGACACACTCTCTAGTGGGATCCGAGTGGGAAACGACTACTGAGAGTGACATAGATGAGGAAAGCTTATCAGCAATCATGAAGCCAGTTAAAATAAGATCATAAATAACAAAGTGAAATGGTCATGTGCCACTGAAACCTTATATGTTCCACCCAGAATCCAAAAGAATGATGATGATGACAATGGAAACAATACCTCCAATTGTGCATATCACTCTCTATCGACTTCTTTATCTTTCACAAACCAGTATGATTTCAGCAACGATTTTATCAGCATCATTTCTAGACTCACTACGGACACTTGGAGACTGATAGAAGAGAGACAGGATGGTGAAACAAAAGATTCTCCAGTGCACCGATGAGCAACAAAAACAGGATTTGAATGCAAGCTACAAGACACTGAACAAAAGAGTAAAGAAGAGTGTCAGGGAAGACAAAAGAAAGTATTATGAAACCATGGCAAGTCAAGCAGAACAAGCTGCAGGCAAAGGAGACCTCGCAACACTCTACCAAACTACTAGGTACCTATCGGGCAAAAGTTTGACACAAATTAAGCCGGTGAAGGATGACAATGGAAGGTCACTCACCAAAGAAGTGGAGCAAAGGAAACACTGGGATGAACACTTCAAAAGACTCCTAAATCGACCACCACCTACAACGCGCCCAACAATACCAACAACGGAGACACAGCTACCAGTGAACACCAACCCCCCGGCAAAATCAGAAGTCCTAAAGGCAATCAAGATGCTAAAAGCTGGAAAAGCAGCAGGACCAGATGGAATCCCAGCAGAAGCATTGAGAATGGACCCAGAGACAACAGCGGACTTGATGACACCACTACTGGAGAAGGTGTGAAAAGAGGGCAAAGTACCCGAGGATTCGAAGAAAGGATACTTATTCAAACTACCAAAGAAAGGAGACCTAAGTCAATGCAAGAACTGGCGCGGAATTATGCTCCTGTCCATCCCAAACAAAATACTAAGCCGCATCATCCTGAAGAGAATCAAACATGACAACCTGGATGAAAAACTTCGACCGGAACAGGCTGGATTCAGGAGAAACAAGTCATGCATTGATCAGATCGCCACATTACGGATCATCATTGAACAAAGCTTGGAGTGGCAGTCACCTCTCTATCTCAACTTCATCGACTTTGAAAAGGCCTTTGGCAGCGTCGATCGAGAGGTGATTTGGAAACTACTTCGCTACTACGGGGTGCCACCAACAGTCATACATCTCATCCAACAGCTGTACGACAATGTACGACAATGGTGAACATAGAGAAAACAGAGGTGATGAAGATTCTTGGGCAACACCACCAACAGCAACAACAACAACAGACAACAATCAGCATAAATGGAAGGAATCTGAAAGAAACAACCTCCTTTACCTACCTGGGAAGCATCGTTTCAACTACAGGCAGACGGAACTGACGAGGATATCAAAGCAAGAATCCGAAAAGCAAGACAAGCTTTCATTACTCTCAAGTCTGTGTGGAGGTCAACAGCACTCAACATCAAAAATAAGATCCGGATTTTCAACTCCAATGTGAAGTCAGTCAGTGCTACTATACGGATCAGAGACTTGCACTTCGCGTCATAAAGAGCATCTCAAACAAACTACAGACCTTCATCAACAGTTGTCTTCGCTCAATACTCAAGATCAGATGGCTGGCCAGAAAAGATCAGCAACAGAGATCTCTGGCAATGAGCGAACCAACCCAGCAGGAACTGGTTGTGCAACAAATATGCAGGAAGAAATGGAGATGGATTGGCTGGCCATACTCTGAGGAAACCATCAAGTGACATCACTAGACAAGCCATCGCTCGAGTGGAACCCGAAAGGGAAGCGGCGAGTTGGTCATCAGTGCAAGGGTGATTTGGAGGAGGTCATGTGAAGAGGAGATGAAAACGTGTGGTCAGACTTGGAGCCAGGTGAAGACTCTAGCAGAGAACCGAACGCAATGGAGACGCACGGCTGAAGCCCTATGTTCCTCTAGGAATTAAAGGAAACAATAATAAATAATAATAATGTCTAAACAGTCTATATTTGAAAGTTCTGCTTTAATGAAACTTAACAAAACCATGGCGGAAATTTACCGGACAAAAAACAAAACAAAACAAAAACCACAAACAACCACTTACCTTAAAGTTGAACGTAATATCAAATCTTGAGATCCTTTCAATTTTCGTAGACCGATAACATCATCACCGCCTGATGAATCATATAATCCAAGTTCATCACCATCATCTCGTATCATCAACATCCTCGTCATCATCAGCATCACCAGCTAATTTTAAGTGTTTCGCCTTATTAATATACGCTTCTAAATCTTGTATACGTCTTTGTAATGCATTCATTTCAGCACGGGAACATGCAGCATCATCTAATGCTTTATGCACATCGAATTGAGCTTCTTCAACTCTTCTTTGTGCCATTGTTGCTTTACGTGTTGCTTCACTTTCCTCTTGTTGGGCTAAACGCAGTTGCCGGGATAATTTACGATTTTGTTCACGTACACTAGCCTCAGATGAGATAAGTTTATCACGTTCATTGGTCAACTGTTCAATTGATTCCCTGGCACGATCAAGTGAATATTGTATACGTGTACGATTGGTGATTTCACTGTCTAAACGTTGATCTAATTCACGTATTCTTGTTTCTAAACGTTCTAATTCACTACGAGGAACCTATAATAATAAAAGGGAAGAATAAATTTTTGAAAAAATACGTACGTCAACCAATGGCCAATAGGTGGAGACTGTAATCGCCAAGCTGAAGAACTCGTAAACCACCTCGCTAAGTCAGTAAGCAAACCATTCGGTCTGTCGGTTTTCGACATAGAACTTCGCACATATGTGCGGCAGTTCAAGTCGCCACACTGCATGTAGCACACAAAGCAAGAGAAGAAAGCAGGAGAAATGCATAATATAGACAGTAAACAGAGGTGTCAGACAAAGGAATAGTAATAATGAAGAACAAACAGTTCCATTGGAAATCATGAGTCACAAGGAGTGGATGCATCTGCGCCAGCCATTGAGAACGATTTTGAGCCATGTCTCGAATTGTTTCTAACCATTGGTTTTTACCGTCCCGAGGACCCCAACTAGTCAGGAAGTCTACACCTTCCTACGTGGCTTAAGCTAACTAAACTGTTGTAGATTTCATTGACTGATGCCATGTTTTGGTTTGACCGCCGCTAGCTCATTTCCAGCCTGGCCCTATATCAGCTAACATTGCCCGTCGAGGAAGGCGATGACTAGGCATACGTAGCACATGTCCCAACCATCTCAGTCGATGTAATTTCACAGTCTCGTCTATTGATTTCCCAGCCTTACCTAGCACTCGACCAAGCGTAACCTCAATATTGCTCATCTTATTATACCACATCACGCGGGAGATAGAACGCAGGCACCTATGATCGAACACAGCTAATCTTTTCGTGTCTTCTGCTCTCAATGGCCAGGTCTCACAGCCATAAAGGAGGACGGGGCGGACTGCTGAGCAGTACACACGCCCTTTGGTCGATAGGCGGATATCACATCTACGCCAGAGACGGCGTAAACTGGCATATGCGAAACTAGCCCTCTGTATTCGTGCTGAGATTTTGTCGGAGATCAACCCGTTGGGGCTGATGGTACTTCCCAAGTAAGTGAAGTGGTCAACGTGCTCTACAACTTCACTTCCTATTTCTAATCTAGGGGTCGGCGTAGTCCAATCCTGCAGCATCATCTTACATTTTACAGGGGCGAATCGCATGCCAAACATACAAAGTCTGTTGCTCAAGCAAACCATTCAGCCATTGAGATTCAATCCAATGCCTCACTGATTACAACTTCTGCCAATTTGTAATATACATAGCGCAAGCATCAGCCAACGCCATAGGCGAGTAACTCATTTCTTGCCTGATTTGTTAGACACCATCACTGTGTCTACAACTTGTCACTAGAACTCTAGGTAACTCTCGTGTATTTAGCCAGTCTCTCCAGTGAGCATCAGATTAATTATCAAGTGCTGGTTTGTGAGGATTTCATTTTTGTTATAGATTTCACAACACAAGATGACATCAGTTGGAATTCATGGACGATTGGATCAGGTCCCAGTGGCTGAATGGTCTACGAGCACGTCTTGTGACCTGAAAGTCCCGGGTTCGAACCCCGCCGGGCGCGCACTGACGAGCAGTGCCAAGGTGGGATGAAATAACTGTTCAATACTCCTGGGTTTCCCTTTGTTTCTCTAAATGATGTCAACGCGTAATCATATCTATAATTAAATAATACTCTAGCATACAAGTAACTTTCACTAACTAATGCGACTTTAATCATCAGGAGCAGTATGAAACACAAACACACACACACAGAAAAACGAAATTAAGGGGGTGTGTAACAGTCTGTCTTTTCAATAGGGTTTATTCCACACAGCATATAGTAGTTTATTTGCCTACAAAATAAAGCAACTATTAAGTATTGCCACAATATCTAATAAGGTTACGATTGAAAATATCAACACAAGCTTGATACTCGAAGTGTTGAAGATTAAAATATCAATACATACCAGTGTTTCTACGCGCGCATACACAAGAAGATATGGGAATCGACAGTAACCATTATCGAAGCTATCTAGATTTCGGTCATTTACTTGGATTCTGGCATATCTCAAAGGTTTCCCGTCTCTCTCTTTCTTTCTCTACTCTGAGTTCCAGCTTCAGTAAAAGAGATATCGAGAAAAAAGCAATTAAACCAAACGAGTGGATGTTAGAATAGTCGTCTTTTTTTCCTGAGGTTCCTGAAATAGAAAGAGCCCAGGGGACAACTGCTTGAGAACGGTCACAAACGGCCAGTCTGAATTGGTGTCAATAGTGTTAGTAACTTACCTCCAGCTACGGACCATTGTAGGGTAAGTTGGAAAATACAATTTTTAGGGTCTACCTTTTCTAACGCCCATTTCCAGAGTGCAGAGGCAGCATAGTCGCCATTCTGGTCATCTGAGGGAAACACCTTAGTGCTGTCACATTCCTGTTCCCCAGAAGTATGACTTTGCCCATACACACCCTGCATAATTTACACATCTATTCTTTTAGTCCAATCGCTTTTACTGTAGCAACTATCGGTTGGCTACCGATCAAAGGATGTGTGTACTGGTCAGCAGATCGTTCTGTCCCCTCTTATGACTGTGATGCATGACCACTAAAAGTGGAAGATATGAAAAAACCAGTTGGCTTTGATCATATGTGTGTGCGTTCCACCTTCCGTGTAAGGTAGTATAATACGGTGAGTAATATTGAGGTTAGGCATCGATCGAGTGTTACGTAAGGAGGGAAAATCAATCGAGGCCATGTGATATACACACGCCTAGTCATCAGTCTCCTCAACGGGCAATGTTAACTGACACAGGTTAGAAAACAGCTAGTGGTAGTCAAACCAAAACATGGAATCAGTTCATGGAATGTTTAACAGTTCGTTTGAGCCACTTAGGAAGGTGTAAGCCGGCTTCTTGATTGGGGTCCTAGGGATGCTATGAACCAGTAACTGGAGACACTTGATGAAATGGCACAAACTCGTTCTCCATGGCCCAGATACATTCAGACTTTTTGATAGGACATACCCGAGGGAAAACCAACTGTTTTTCCAGATACCAACTCTTTCTTCCTCACATTTCTGCTAATTGTCATACCGTAAAGGAGGAAAGACTGTTGAAGCTGTAGGCACATAAATTTGATATACCATAATCTTTAATTATTTTTTTTGCTTTTCATTTGCAAATTGGTGGAATATGGTCACATTCGATAGCTTGTTGGATTCTGCACAGTGTTTGTAACGTTCTTCTTACAGGTCTCTTCTTCGACCAAAAATATATTGTTACTTTTCTGAATTCGTTTACTGATATACTACTTATATCTGATTATAAGTAGCACTCACTACAATACTCTCAAGTCTCTTTTTTCTCTTTTGTCTTCCTTTGTGTCCCACATGGAGTGTGGCATCTCGAAATACTACAATTCTGTGCAAAGTGTGATGTCAGAAACAGTCAGTAGGATGGTCGTCAAACACACACAAGATGTCTCAGTCCTATTCCCAGCCGACGCACACCTAAACCTCACCTGGCTCTGGTAGTCACTCCAGAAAAGAGGGGAGGTTGGGCAATCCCATCTAGTGAAAGAATAGAACACCATCACTACTGAAACTACAAAAAGTGAAACCCAAGAATGATCCAATTCAGAGTAAAAAGGAATGAAAACAAACCAATTAACTTACCTGATCTATACTAGTTGTATTAATTTCTAATTTTAGCTCATCTATTTGTGTTTGTAGTTTCTTTCTTTCTATAAGAAGTGCATTGATTTCTTCCATTTGTGCTTGAATTGTCGCCTCATTCACAGTGATGTCAGCTAAGGCGACAGTCAGTTTATCACGAGTTTCTTTATGCGCATCTTCTTGATCAGCTAATTGATTTTCTAACTCATTAAGTTGACGTCTTAAACGAGACAGCTCTTCTTCAAACTATAAGTAAGATTTTAAGAATAAAAAGATGAACAGTCAGCGTGAATCCATTTACTTACAAGGCAATTAAAGAAACTGAATTGTCAATGAAATCTACCCTAGAATTAAGGCACCTGCATAATTTGAAAATCTAATTATAAAATATTACATTTTTTATTATAGCTTGACTCCACACAGTATTTTTGATACAAGTATGGAATTTTCAGCATGTGATATCGGCAGCCTAAATTATGCAGGCCGACCATTGATATCAGATGTCCGTCGGCTGGGGATCGAACCCCGGACCATGTGCATGGTCGGCGAGCGTCCTAGCCGCTGTGCCGCCGACGCACATATATAACAGAGAAGCTTTGTAGATCAGGCGGATGATTTTGATGTCGTTCTGTTCTCTGAGCTAAATGGTATGCTTGCGAAGCTTTCATTCCTCAGAGCATTCTTCGGTTTTAAGTGAGCTTTGAAATTTCTCCACGAGTTTACTAGAGATGTCTCCGGTAATCTTGAATGTGACTGGTTGTTTTTGTGTATTTTCTCATTTTACACTTCGCATTAAATACTTCGATTGGAAAGGAACTAATAATAGAAACCAAGGAGGAATTACCCAGCAACGACGAACACCTTCCGCAACACTCGAATTGGATGGAATGTATAAACCTTTGTCTAATAACATATTCTCAATTCAACAGGCATATATATCAACAAATTAAAGGAACACCTCTATGGGATCGCCCACATCAGGTCTGACTGAACAAGCTGTGATGCAAAGACTTAAAAACATAATCCTACTGGAGATCAAACCCGAAATATGTTATGTGGATGACACACTCGTGGTAATCAGAAGAAACGACTTAGACAAAGCTCACAGTTTAATAAGCATCTTCAACGAAAACAAATTGAAAAGAGAATAAGAATCTGAGGGCAAATTCCACTTTTTGGACGTCTTAATCAAGAAAATTATAAACTCAGGTAAACAGAAAACCAATTCACATAAACCGAACACCTAATTACAATATAAACAACACAATAACACACAAAAACAGTTGCGTATAAACATTATTCAAGAGAGCCAGGAAGCATTTCAGAACTCCCACCTTGAGGGAAGTTGAAGAAAAATATCTTGTGGACGTCTTACAAAAAATTGAATATCTACGATAGTTCATCAAAAGACATCTACCCACAACTCAACCAACCAAATCAAAGGCCCCCGATGGAAACATAAAGAAAATCGTCTTATCATATATAAAGAACGTCTCAGAAATCACTGCAAGACTATTCGAACTCTTAGGAATTGATGTTGCACACAAGCCAGCGAAATGATTTCACTCGGCTTTATGTCAACCAAAAGACTCAACAGCAAGAGAATATTAAAACCAACATCATCTACAAAATAAATTGCAGCAACTGTGAAAAACACTACATTGGCCAAAGTGGACACCCCCTTCACCTTCACATCGACGAACATAAACTGGCCGTCAAAAGACACAATATCCACTCCCTGATAATACTGCAAACAATCACAGACAACATTTCCATTGGAATAACGTCCAAATATTAGATAGAGGGATATTCACATTTCTAACACTAATGTCAAGTCGGTTAATGCTTCTAGATTGTTAAGACACTTGGTGTGCGTGTCATCAAAAGGCTTTTGCCCACAGCTGCCTTCTATGGATTCGTACTGAAGATCAGATGGCTGAGTGATAAGGAACTCTGACAATAAGACCGTCAAGAACCTACTGCCCAACAAATATGCACAAGGAATTACAGATGTATCAGACATACACTGAGAAGGTCATTGAGTGATTTCACATGTTAACTGCACACCCTCGAGTGGAAACCGAGGGTGGCATGGAAAAGGTTGTGTGTGGAGGGTATGAAAGCTTACGAACAATAGTCGAGTCAGATAAAGATTAGTGCACAGAACAGGATGAAATGGGGATGCACTTTTGAAGCCCTGTGTTCCACTTGGAACCCAAGGGAACAATAATAGTGATAATAAATAGTAGTCACTCGATCTGGTTAGCAAATATTACAAATATTGACGTAGATAGTTTTCAACTACTTATATATGAATCAGTAATATGGGAATCACCTCGCGAAAAACCTCTTCTTAAATCTACTGGCTTCATATTGATATCAACATGAAATTGTACTATTATTATTATTCGTAGATCTCTTGATTATGTCTGCAGCACCCAACGAATAACGCCGCCTAGACGCTGACACTGGAAATAATTTAATACTCCATCTAATTAAAATTAAATAATGACAACATAAAAGATTTTTTTTAAAAGAGTAATAAGTTAGGCTTATATTGAATACTAATGAAATACCCGTTTTTGTGTACGAAGTGCACTTGTCAATTGTTGTTGCGTCTCCTCCAGTTCGCTTTGTTGACGACGTTTCTGACGATTTGTTTTGTCGTTTGATTCATCTAATTCATCGATCTAATGAATGGAAATAATAATAATAATAATAGTATTAATCAAGTTACCATCTGACATAAAAATATGAAGATGGATTAACAGAATAGGTATTCCAGACTATCAGCCAGAATACACACACATGCAATTTTTTGCATGAAGTTATATACTACTGATTGATTGAGATGAGTAGTTGTATACCACTTATATCACCAACCAATTATTCTATGAGCGCTAATGATTACTAACCAGTTTGCTCAAACTGAAATAGGCTGAAGCGGCGTTTCGAAACCCAGAACAACTGGTTGAAATAGTGGAGGATCCAAACCAGTCAACCACAGAATGGATAGTTGTGGATCCGAACACAAAAGTCTGTGTGAATCTGTAGAACAGACGACTACAGTTTGAAACAACACAAACACACACACACACACAGACAGATGACGAACATTTTAAATCTGTCTGTCTATTTTCGACATAGAACTTTGCACATATGTGCGGCAGTTCAAGTCGCCACACTCCCTGTAGCACACAAAGCAAAACAAGAAAGTAGGAGAAATGCATAATATAGACAGTAAACAGAGGTGTGAGACAAAGGAATAGTAATAACGAAGAACAAAACAGTTTCATTGGAAATCATGAGTTACAAGGAGTGGATGCATCTGCGCCACTGAGAACGATTTTGAGCCATGTCACCAATTGTTTCCAACCATTGGTTTTTACCGTCCCGAAGACCCCAACTAGGAAGTCTACACCTTCCTACGTGGCTTAGACTAACTGTTGTAGATTTCATTGACTGGTGCCATGTTTTCGTTTGACTGCCGCTAGCTCTTTTCCAACCTGACCCTATGTCGGCTAGCATTGTCTGTCGAGGAAGGCGATGACTAGGCATACGTAGCACATGTCCCAACCATCTCAGTCGATGTAATTTCACAGTCTCGTCTATTGATTTCCCCTCCTTACCTAGCACTCGACGCCTAACTTCAATATTGATCACCTTATTATACCACTTCACACGGGAGATATAAAGCAGACACCTATGATCGAACACAGCTAATCTTTTCATGTCTTCCACTCTCAATGGCCATGTCTCACAGCCATAAAGGAGGACGGAGCAGACTGTTGAGCAGTACATACGCCCTTTGGTCGATAGTCGGATATCACGTCTACGCCAGAGACGGCGTAAACTGGCATATGCGAACCTAACCCTCTGTATTCGTGCTGAGATTTCGTCGGAGATCAACCCGTTGGGGCTGATGGTACTTCCCAAATAAGTGAAGCGGCCAACGTGCTCTACCACTTCACTTCCTAATTCTAATCTGGGGGTCGGTGTAGTCCAATCCTGCAACATCATCTTATATTTTACAGGGGCAAATCGCATGCCAAACATACGAAGATTTTTGCTCAAGGTGTTCAGAAAACTGTGCATTTTTTCAGCGTCCTCGCCTAGAAGGACTATATCGTCTGCATATTCTAAGTCAACGAGATTATTCCCTGGTAGCAAGTCAATCCCCGAGTCTCTGAAGTGAGTTAGGGTAAAGTCCATTAGTAGGTCTGCGATGAAGTTGAATAGAAATGGGGATAATGGGCATCCTTGACGGACGCCACCTTACTTCCACTGTGTCGTAAAAACTGTCAAAACACCTCATGGACACTAATGTCAGGTTTTGGTTCGACTACTCTTTCTGTAACTAATTTATAACTTAATCCTTCGTTAGTTAACATACCTCATCATCACGTAAGGAGATGATTCGGAATGTGTGACATGTGTCATGGCTATCTTAATCAACTCACTTACCCTCACTATCTAGTGCTCTCTGTCTAATCTCAGTATAAGTCACTACATTGTACCATTTAACATAGGAGAAAGAGACCAAACATCTCTGGTCAGATACAGCAAGTCTTTTCATATCTTCCACACCTATAAAGGACAGCGAAACACTGTACAGTAAACGTATCACATCTACGCCAAAGACAAGGTAAGTTGGTGTCAAATGCCCGGTGAGCCTTTCGCATCCATACTGACATTTCGTCAGCAATCAGTCAATCCACTATGGTTGATGCAAATTCTAAAAATAAATCAAGCGGTCCAACTCGCCCTATCTTTAAACCAGAATTCGGTTCAAGCCAGTCCTGCGCCACCATCATCAACATAACCATACATTTGACAGAAGCATGTCACTTACGAATAACAATTATCACTACTACTACGACTAGTGTTAATTACACAACAAGGTATTCTCCGCTGGAGAATTCCACAGAAATGATTAAAATCCATGGAAAAACTTACCCGATCACGTAACTTTCTAATTTGTTCTTTATAATCATCACAATTAGAAGTTAACTGAACAATGATGACTTCTTTTTCGGTGAGAAGATTTTTCATTAATTTCAGCTCTTTTAACAACTTACGTTCTAAATAATGAGAAGAAAACAAAGTCGTATAACTTAAATATGTTTGGACAAGGTATAGAAGAAGAAGAAAAACAGTCGTTATGATTTCTGTAGACAAAAGTATTCAAACGACAACGATATATAATGGCCTGTTTGTTAAATTCCATAAGCAGTTGCTACCTATTCACACAACAACACTCTGGCTTGTAGGGGGAATGACTTCATCAGAAAAATATTCTATATCGATGGACCACTGGCAGAGTACTAGCCAACGAACCATATGATCCAAGTCTCGATTCCCGGTCGACTTACTTCTAAACCTCACTGCTAAGTCTGTAGTAAGCCTAGTAAAGAGGGAAGGTTCAGTATAAGGCTAGCTACCACATCCTATAAAAATAAAACCACTGCTACTAAAACTTCAAACCTTAAGCTTACTATTAAAAATGTATTACGTACAGAGACTATTTCGAAGCTATGATCTTTAGTCGCATGGCTTTATTAGTCATTCTGGTTACTATCTACATGCTTACCATTACACTATTCTTACTGTTCCCTCGGGTTCTGAGTGAAGCATATCTCCACTCTGTCCTATTCTCAGTAGTCCTCTATAGCTGGCCCCTGGATTACCCATCAACGTTCATCTCCTCTTTGTCACATTCGGAAATACGCCCAACTTGTCGTCTTTCACTCGAGCGCCATGGCCTGGAGAGTGATGCCTTTCAACGGTCTCCTCTGTGTGTGTGTGTTTAATCCATCTCAATTTTCCTCGGAATATTTGTTGAACAGTAGTTTCTTGGTTGGTTTGTTGCCAGAGTTCCTTGTTGTTAATTCTTTCTTGTCGGTCATCTGATCTTCAGTATGGAGCCATCGATGTGAGCAGCTGTTGATAAAAGTCTGTCACTTGCTGAAAATCCTTTGCGTGACTCGCTGACCAAGTTTCTGACCCATATAGAAGAACTAATTGACTGAATTAACATTGGTGTTGAAAATTCGAAACTTGTTGTTTATCTTGAGTGCAGGAGATTTCCAAAATTGATTTCAGAGTGATGCAGGTGTATCTTGCCTTTCCGACTCCAGCATTGACATCCTCATCCGTCCAGCCTGTAGGTGAAACCATGCTTCCTAGATAAGTGAAGAAAGTGACTGACCTCTTTCAAATTTATTCTGTTGATGGCTGGTTATCTTCATCACCCCTGTCTTCTCTATGTTCACTTGAGGTCCTATGTTACCTATCTGCTTCTTCTGAGAACTCGTTGGTTCCAACCTGTAAGTCTTCGAGTTTATGTGACATCCGACATAAATCGTCCGAAAAGTTCAGATCTTCTACAGTCTTCTTATCAGTCCAGCATATTCCTGTCTTGTCACTTCCCAAAAGGAGACGCATAATCCAGTCAGTCCACCTGTGCTTATCATATTTATAAGATACTTCATTTAATAATAATAATGATAATTTGCTTTATTCCAAAACAGTACTTGTGATACAGAATGGAATTCTCAGCATTTTTACTACAGTATTGCATCCAGTTAGTACATTATCAATAAATAGAATTCTACATAGATTAAGGAAATATCAGTTCATTATGACAACAACATATTGGCATGTCAGTAGCAAAGCCAAAGTTGAACAGTGTTTGAAGGTGTTAGAAAAGTAGGAGCTGTCATATTTACTGGCGTAAGCGAGAGAAAGAAACAAAGGAGCACATAACTGAAAAAAAGAGAGAGATAAAAGGAAAAGAAAGAAAGAAAATGTTGTACCTATTGATGATGTGAGTTGGAAAGACGAGGTCCAGTTGTACTACTGACTATTTAGTGAATTATAGGTGTCACGCCTAATGCTTTCTTTATCACACAGAACACGAGCTAAGTAGGGTATGGTTGAGTTTTTGTACTTGCTGGTGCGAGCATATAGTTTTCTATATTGGCTTCTGTTTTACCGGATGAGATGCAAGGGGAGAGTTGTGAGTGAAGAGGGTGTTGTGAGTTAGATAAAATGGATTTGGTCCATTTCTCACAGGAGTCCATGTGCCTGTCGACCAGAATATTAACAAGCTGGTTAAGTGGCACGTTGCTTACCCGGTTGCTGACAACCTTTAACATCCTGCATAATATGTTATAGTCTTTCTTCAGTAGCCCGGGAAAAACTAAGGGGGAACAATAGAGAATAATAGGCAGGATGCGAGAGTTAACGAATTGTAGGAGTAAGGGTTGGGTTATACCAGAATGTTTTAACTTCTTAGTGTAGAAGGTTAAACGGAATATTTTCTTAGAAATCGCCAAGATATGAGACGACCAGGAGAGATCAGCAGATAGAATGACGCCAAGGTATTTAATTTCCGACTTGGTTTCTATTTCAGTGCCTTCATTGGCTTTAACATCACTGTATCAAAGTTAATCACCTAATACACCATACATACGTATATTGACAATTTCCATGCGTAAAGTCAAAACTCGAAAATGTGATAATCAATCGCCTCAACTTACCCATATCATCATCATTAGAAGTAGTAGCATTTGCTAACTCTGTATTCAACACTGATATTTCCAGCTCCAACTGATGTTTCTCTCTAGTTAACCGAGCATTCTCTTGCTTTACGCCCTCTAACGTCTCTTCCAATTGTCTCATTTTAACTTGATTAGCACTACGCATCGCTTCATAATCTGTTTCATGTTCATCTTGTACACGAAGTAAATCAGCACGTAACTTTTCAATTGTCTTCTCTGCTTTCAACTGAGCGCCATGAGTAGTTTCCAGCTCTTTTTTTAAATCATCTAGTGCATTTTGTAAATCAGTAGTCTGTAGCGTTAAAGAATGATTTGTTGATCGAAGTTTATTCACTAGGGTTAATAGGTCTTCTGGAGCATTCGGGTATAAAAGTGCATAGTCTGTTGTTGATGATGGTTCACCATTTTTGTCACCATCATCTTTCTCTTGAGTCTTCTTTACAGATTCTAATAATAATAAGTGTCGTTTTTCTGCTAGCTCCAACTTTGTACTGATCACCTATATGTGGGAAACAAACCAAAATAATAGAAAAGAAATTGACCAGTGTGATTAGAAACAAAATATAAAAGTCTAGAAAGAAATGAAATATAATTCAGTTAAATATTTTAGGCATATAGGGTTGAAACAGATAGCATAGCTGTCTGTCTGATAGAAGCCCCTTACCGTTGTTTGCTTAAAAACAAGGCAGAACTACGTTAGACGCTGCTGCTGCTGTTGTTGCTGTTTCACATCATAGTACTGCCTCCTTCGTAGAGAGAGAAGCTAAATATGTTCGATGTGCCTTCCTTGACTACACATCTGTACCCAAATGCCATCTGTTAAATATGCTTTCCATGACAAAAACCTAGTCCTAGGCTGTTAACTGTTGACAATCTTATTTCTGTAACAGAGTGCAGTATACTGTATATAACGGTAAATCTCCCTCTTCCTTGCTGACTGTAGCTCGAGTACCTCAGAGTGTTTTTCTGTCTTCTTTTTTTCTTTCTCCTTTCTTCTAACATGACTTACCACTCTCGGATGTAATCAACTTCGTTGAATACGCTGGTGATCTGACTGTCTCGTTGGCAGTTAAGTCCCTATCTGGCAGTTCTAAACTTAATAGGTCCATGCCAGGTCTTATGTTAAATCCTTCTAAATGTCAAACTATTAACTTCACCTTTAGGCATAAACGTGATCTACAAGAACTAGTCCGTTCACGTGACACTTGTAACATAGAGGGCACTGAAATACCTTGGAATAGTTCTATCCTCTCACCTTTCTCAGACATTCCATATCTGGTCGATTTATATAAGAAAATCTTCCATATAACCTACTAAATTAAGAAACTAAAACTATTTGGAATCACTCAACCACTGTCTCTTAAAATTTCTTAACTCATGTATCTTACCTACTGTAGTTTACTGCTCTCCCTCTTCAGTCCTTCCTGGGCTACTCAAAAAGGACTATGTCATATTGCGAAGGGTATTAAAAGTCGTCAGTAGGGCAAGTGGTGCACCACTGTAGTCGACAGACATCTGAACTCATGTGAGTTACTATGTTATTAGCAAAATAAATGGCTCTTTTATTCTCTTGTATTAGTAATCTACGATGACACTATTTCAGTTAACTTATAATTTTAGCTACTAACATTATTACCATTATCCTATGCTTGTACATTTTTGACTTTATTGTCACTGTAAATACCAAAAAAGTTGCTATTATCAATCCTGTGATATAATTTTTTTTATTATTTTTGTTTTTGTTGATGTCAAGGTAATTCCTTGCAATATTGTACCAAATGCTGAGAATTCCACGCTGTATGATAAGTACTGTTTTGGAATAAAGCAAATTATTATTATTATTACTACACATTCATCAGCAGTATCGCTCCACCCTCAGACCCGCAAAACTGTAATGATTAGTGCGTTTCGTCTAACTGCTACACACCAAATGACGATTTTTGTACGGTGGGACCTGCAAGAACATTCGTTTCAGCCAAGGTAGTCTATAGGATCATTGAGATAAGCAAGTCTGACCACAACATCGAGTCATTTAATTGTTTACTACTTTATTTTCCTAAACATATTTTTACCCCACCACTAACACATATGCCAGACTTCACCATCATCGCCACAAAACATATACACACATCAATTCAACTAAACATCATCAGTATATTATTGCATAGATGGCGTGTTAACAAATACCTGGTTATCAAGTGTTGGTATGCAGGGTCTTTATTGGTCACGGATTTCATCACAAGTTTACATCAATTAGAGAACCGTTGGAAAGCCAGCAAGGTGTACTGGACAGCTATTTCGTCCTAGTTCAGGACTCCTCAATACTACGTCCACAGCCAGGGTTCGAACCCAGTATGTTTCACCCACAGGATGAGCTTGTAGACCATTCAGGCACTGGGAACCAATCTAATGGTCTATCAATTCCAATTGATGTCCACTCGTGGTCAGATCTGTAGCCAATCAAGTCCCTGCAAACCATCACTTGCTAATTAATCTGATGCTCACTAGCGACTAGCTGAATATAGGATGATGCCTGGAGTCCTAGTTAGAATTTGTTACCAGCGGAGCCCACCATGGCAGGCACGAGAACAGATACTTGCCTGTGGCATTTGGCTGGCGGTTGAGATAAGTATCGCAAGCTGGTAAGAGTTAGAATTCATGGTCTACAGAATGGTCTTATGACCTAAAGGTCCTGGGTTCGAACCCTAGTGGTTAGTGCATACCGCTGAATAGTTTTAAAGTGGTACGAAACAGCTATCCAGTACTCGCCGCTGGTTTCCCAACCATTCTCCAGCTGATATTAACTACTGTTCAAATCTGTAACCAGTCGAACCCCTGCAAACCAACATTCAAATATTCCGCATGTATATATATTCATATTTATGCAATATAATACAAAATAATACTTCAAATATATATATATGACTGACATACAGTCATCTCTATATTATATAGTATTGTACAGAGTTTATTTTACCTTGACAAGTTGTTCAGCTTGTAGACGATTTTCTTCAGCCAATTCTAGATCAGCTCTAGCCCGATCACAATCCTGTTTATAACGTATATTCTCAGTTGTAAGCGATGATAATTGTGCGGTTAAATCATTTGATGAATTTTTCAAGTCTTCAATACTTTTTAATGCTTCAGTGTATAGACGTTTATATTGTGCTAGTTCATCTTCACTTTCTTTCAATTGTGCTTTCAATTTTGATGGTGACAGTGTATTGTGATTAGCGTTTTCATTATTCATCTAAAGGAGGAAAACATTGCAATGCGTAAAGCAGATTAATAATACATGATTTGATAAAAAGTTTAAAGAAAAGACACCTGGCGTCAGTGCACCACGCTAATAGGTACGCAGTGCAATCCTCGGTCGACGAACTTCTAATCCCCATTGAGCCGGTAGTAAGACTATTAGAAACAGAAAAGGTTAAGCATGAGGCTGGTTAGCCCACCATATAAAAACAAAACCACTGCTACTAAAACTTCAAAGATCCAGCCTGAAGCCCTATGTTCCACTCGGAACGCACAAGAGAATAATAATAATAAGATATCCAAAGAAAGAAATTCTATTTTGATGTAGTTGCGTTGCCTGAGCTGGATGGTTTATTTGCAAAGCTTTCATTGCCCGACTAGGCAACATCCTAGCTCAGCTCATACTTCAAAGGAATTGTATATAAAAACACTATTCAAGAAGGCCAGAACTCATCGCAGTACTCTCACACTAGGGAAAAAATTGAAAAAAGATATCTTATAGACGTTTCCCGAAAGAATGGATAACCACGGAATCTCATCAAAAGACATATACTCCCAAGCCAACCTATTAAATCAAAGGACCCAAGGAAAACATGAAGAAAATCGCCCTACTATATATAAACGACATCTCAGAAATCACTGCAAGACTCTTCAAACCTTTAGGAGTTGACGTCGCACACAAACCAACAAAATCAATTCCCTCAGCTGGCTCTATGTCAACCAAAAGACTCAACAAGGAAAGAAGATAAAACCAACATCATCCACAAAATAAACTGTAATAAGTGTGAAAAACACTACATTGGCCAAAGTGGACGTCTCCTTTGTCTTGGAATCCATAATTATAAGCTAGCCGTCAAAAGAAATGACATCCACTCCCTCACATCACTACATACGCACAATCACGAAAATCAGTTCGACTGGGACAACCAGTGTTCAAATATTAGACAGAGGAAACACCAAGAATGCTAGAGAATTTTTAAAAGGCTGCCTGGTATTCCAGTGAATCATCAATCAATAGACACATCGAGATAGACAAAATTTACCAACCGATAAGAAGGAAACCTTACACACAAAAGGTCAAAGTTCAAGTCAAGTAAACAATCAGCTCCAATACAAGTAACCTAGAAGGTGTGAAAACACACAAAATCAACCAGAGTCACGTTTAAGGTCACCAGGAGAGATCATTAATAAACTCGTGGAGAAATCTACACGCTCACTTCAACAAACTGAAGTATGCACTGAAGATGTTGCCTAGTAGGGCGATGAAAGCTTCGCAAATAAACCATCCAGCTAGCTCAGAGAACAGAACTACATCAAAATCACCCACCTGAGCTACAAATCTTCTCCGTCATATCTAAAGAAATTCTATATTCTAAGTAGCTGGAAGTATCTATCTAACACGTTACCGAGATATATTGCTATAGGATTTAGTTGAAAAACAATCATAGGCGGTTAAATACAGAGAAAAATCAGCAGGGATAAAGATGTGAAGAAAGCCAGCCAGGATAGAAAGAGCAAGATAGACCTTCATCACTCTGAAAACCGTTTTGGAACTCTTCTGCTGTCACTCAATTCTTCTACACATGGTTCAGAGAATAATTAATGAACGTGTCACAAAGCGTATTTACAACAGTTCACTGCAGACTTTCATTAGCATCTGCCTTCGCCGGCTTCACAGAGAAGATCAGATAGCCGACCACTAAGGATAAGTAACACGGAACTTTGTCAATGCAACGACCAAACCAAGAACCTATCACCCAACAAATATACCAAGGGAAAATGGAGATGGACCAGACATATGCTGAAGAGACCGGTGAGTGACATTACACCACCACAGAGCCCTCAAGTTGGACCCGAGTTGGGCATCAGTTCGAGAGGGGCATGGAGAAGATAACAACTTATGGGACAGCTTGAAAGGACTTCGAAGAACGGGATGAAATGGTGATGTGCCGTTGAAGCCTTATATTTTTCACTGAATACTTATGGGAATAATAGTATGATAGATGATAATAAACCAAAAAAATTGTTATCAATTCATGAACTGTTTGAGTGTTACAATGACCCAGGTAGAAAATGTAGAATGCATAGCTGAAATCCTCGAAACACTATTACATTATGAGTGAAGCTTTTTATGATAGCATACTTTACTCTGACTATCGTTCAAAGTCTAATAAAATTTATTATTATTTATTATTATTTCCTTTAATTCCTAGAGGAACATAGGGCTTCAGCCGTGCGTCTCCATTGCGTTAGGTTCTCTGCTAGATTCTTCACCTGGCTCCATGTCTGCCCACACGTTTTCATCTCCTCTTCACATGACCTCCTCCAAGTCACCCACTCTCGCACTGACGACCAACTCGCCGCTTCCCTTTCGGGTTCCACTCGAGCGCTGCCTTGTCTAGTGATGTCACTTGATGGTTTGTTTCCTCAGAGTATGACCAATCCATCTTCATTTCTTCCTGCCTATTTGTTTCACAATCGGTTCCTGCAGCGTTGGTTCGTTCCCAGAGATCTCTGTTGGTGGTTTTTTCTGGCTGGCCATCTGATCTTGAGTATTGAGCGAAGACAACTGTTAATGAGGGTCTGTAGTTTGTTTGAGATACACTTTTTGACACGCCAAGTTTCTGATCCATATAGTAGCACTGACTTCACATTGCAGTTGAAAATCCGGATCTTATTTTTGATGCTGAGTGCTGTTGACCTCCACACAGACTTGAGAGTAGTGAAAGCTTGTCTTGCTTTTCCAATTCTTGCTTTGATATCCTCGTCAGTTCCGCCTGTAGTTGGAACGATGCTTCCCAGGTAGGTGAAGCAGATTGTTTCTTTCAGGTTCCTTCCATTTGTGCTGATTGTTGTCAGTTGTTGTTGTTGTTGCTGTTGGTGGTGTTAGCCAGGAATCTTCATCACCTCTGTTTTCTCTATGTTCACCTGAAGTCCTATCTTTGATGCTTAGGACTTCAGGTGAACAGTAAATAAATAAAATACTACTAATAATAATAATACTAATAAAATAATACTCCTTAATTGTTGAAGTCGATTTGCATTCCCCGTTGACTGATCAAGCTAAAATGTTCAGCCCCTACGGACATACTGGCTTCTAATACGAAAGCTTCAATGATGTCTGAGAATTAACATGCTGTTACTTGGTGGATGAAGACATCCCCAGTGGTTGACAGTGCCCCCCCTCCCCCATTAGGATTCAAACTAGTAGAAGTAACGTCACTTACTCACTCACTAGAGTATACAGGTACATCAAGATAGTGAGTACGAATAGAACTAAAGGCGCATCCTGGATTCCATTACT